CTGAAAGGCACAGGCTGATAGGCCAGTGGACCCAGAGAGGCCGAGGAGTCTTCGAGATAAGGATCTTCTATTGGCAGACGAAGGAAATGGAGGATACACTCGTCCTGGGTTCTTGACCCCACGTGCTCAGAGACCTTGTTCCAGTCGTCCCTGTAAACTTCTAGAGCCTGAGACAGAAGAGGGATAAAGAAATCAGAAAAAGTATGGCGAGAACCAAAATGGAAAACTCAAGGTATAATTTAAAACATTTCTTAAAAACAATAGAAGCAATAGTTTTACCTCTAATAACAACAGTGTCTCTTGTTCTGTCCATTCCCTTCCTGCACTTGCTCCTTTGGTCTAAAAAATATGATAGAACAGTTGTAAGAAAAAACAAATCATGCAAGAATGTGAGATAAAGAAAAGTGTTTATTTGAAATGCTGCTTGACACCTTAGGGTGCTTCCTGGCATAGATGTCAGTGCGAAGACCAAAGTTCTGGCAATCTGAGGGCTTTTCTCTGCCTTTTTCGGGGAAGTACAACATATGTTGCGAAGCAGTCACCTGCAATCACAAGTTGGGGAAAGAAAAAAAAAATCAACATTCCATGAATTTGTTCAGTCTGAAACATTTGTGTGTACTTGAGTGTTTGATGTTTACCTGCAGCGGTTTGTGTTGCAGGGGTGCCAGACCTAACGGTGTGTCAGCCAATACGTTAAAATGGGGTGTGGGTGGTGGTCCCATGGGGAGGGGCCTGCTTTCTGCATCCACTTGGTAGTTGATTAAACCCCACTGCTCCAGAAATGCATGCACCCTGGAGACACAACATGGAATTTGCATTCATTTAACTGGAGTACAGCTCAAACTCTGCCTCCACATATGTCTGCAGACCCATTAATTACACTCAACGCTCCTCCACAGTATGAGGATTTCATTTAACACATTTTCTCAGTTGAAATGCCCACGCAGTTAGGAAGAGCAGATAAAGTAAACGCCCACACACAACCTGGTACCTTATAATGGCACAGACGTCTCCAGTGAGGTTTCGTCTGCAGGAGGTGGAGCTGAGATACTCCTGAGGGTTCAGCCGGTATGTGTCGATCATGAAATTACGGTACGCCAGGTAGCTACAGTAGAAAGAAAAGGTAATGATGTTGGTGGGGATTTAGGCCAATGGTACTGAAACATGTAGTTCTTAAGGACCACCTAAAAAATAGTACATCAGTAGTAGTACTCACATTTCTGGAGATTTGGACTTGTTCTTTCCGTTAAAGAATTCAGGAAGAGCTCGTTTTTCGATAAAGTGAATGCTGAAAAGGTTGTGATTAGTTTCATCAGTATTATAACTTTCACTTTGTTGTAAATTTTTTTGTCTTTATTTGTGTTTTTATTTTTACCTGTTGTTGTTAAACCAAGACGTGAAGCTTGGGATAATAATGTGATGTGTTTGCTCTGTAATGTTTTCCTCTCCTTCTGAAAACCGTGTCATCTCCCCTCTTCCTTCTTCCTCCTCCTGTACATACATAAACATACTTTAAATTAAATAGTTTGCCTCTCTCAAAAACAAAAATGAAAAAAACAACAAACAAAAACAGTAAATCAAAAACCCCTAAAATAGATACAAATATTTTGAGGAACATTTATTTACCCTTCCGAGAAAATCATCCTCTTGGTCGTCTGGAAAATTAAATGGGAAACGAAGATGAGAATTTAACACCAGGAACAGTATATTGTACGTTTTAAGACATCTGCCGGCTTACCCAGGTCAGTCATTGTTCCTCCTTTGACTGGTGTGTTCTCACTGTCTTTCTTCAGGTTCACTATACACACAAATTTAGGCGATTTTAAACAAGCATGAACCTCTTAAAATGCACAGCATTCTGGTCTTGTTGTATGGTTTACCATTTTTAGGTAGTATAACCTCCTCCATGTTAGGAACAGGGGTAGGGTCTTCCATATCTTTGGTCAGATCCTCCTCTGGCTCCTCTTCCTGTTGTCCACGTCTTCTCCTGTTCAAGATAAAACCCAGATAATGAGCCAGGTTTAAATATATCATGATTATGTGCACCACTGTTCATTGTTTCATGTTTCTCACCCCTTCTTTCCTTTCTTTCTGCCATCAGAGGAAGGAGGTGAGGGGGATCGTCTTCTCTTTTTTGACGGAGTGGATCTTGACTCCTTCAGTCAAGATGAGAATGTGTAAATAAAATCTCATGAATTAAGAAAAATCCTGACTTTTCTACTAAGACCAAAAAGCATCTCTCAGACAGCCACACACCTGCTCATCTTGGAGGCGAACACGCTGACGAAGGATTAATGGGGAGTTCCTCTCATCCACACAATAGTCTTCCTCATTCATCCACTCATTGAATACATCTGTGTCTAGGACCCAACCGGCATGGACCTGGAAATAACATGGAAAACAGATCGAGTTAGACGGTAATGTGTGCTGCATCACGTGTTGCATTGGTATGTTTATTCTAACTCTGCTTCCTTCAGGGGGCACTAGACAAGATTTAACAACATTTAACATCTTGATGTCCTTAAAGCATCCATTCATTTTATTATTTTATTACTGTCTGGCAGCTCCATCGCCATGGTATTTTCCATTTTTTATCTGTTTTCATGGGGGAAGGGAAATAATTGGCTCCAGAGCTTAATGATTATATTAATGTCCTAGTGGTTTAAATGTCTTCTAGTGTAATATGAGGATTTCAATGCATTATATGTGTGCTCACCCTCCACGGTCCCACTGGGTGCGGTGGCTCTTCAACTTCTCCTTCGACATCGCCCGAAGGTAGCCAGCTGTCATAGCTGAGGAAAAGAAAAGAAAATCAATTATATGATTTTATATAGGTTCGTTTACAGTAAGTGTAAGTGTTAATGTAAAAAATATATGTTATTTTGCATTACCTGTCAGGGTGCATTCCCCAATGTACTAGGATGTGATTATCCTTACGCATGATGGGACGTAGCCATTCATCTGGAAAAACAAATACATTGAGTATTATGCTTAAATACATATGTATTTGCAATAAAGAAATTCTAAAGAGTGGTAACAAACCTTCTTCAGTAGTAGCAGGTAAAGGATAAATGTGGTGACTGGCGAGTGTTTGGTCCTCGGTGATAGTCCCCTGTACAAAAACAAACTGTGAGCAGGCAGCACACACACAGGGAACACACCTCCCTTGATTTGCACTGTTAAGTTAGCCACACAAGTTTTTTTTAACTATTTTTTTTTAATCACTGCATGACTTTACCTGGTGCTTCGTGATGATCGTGGTCAGTCTGTTTGCCAACTCCTGATTGAGTGTGGCCTCCAAATAAACCACAGGTAAGGACATACAACTGTTCTGTAGACACAAAACAGAGGCACACGGTATGTGATATAGTGCTGGTTAAATGCTGCCTTAGTATACATTTGGGTTTCATCTGTTACCTGGATTAATGCCCCTTTAATTGCACTAAACATCTCGACATTTCTCTCAGTTCTTGATGGATTCTGCAAGTCAAACCTTCGCCTGTTAGGGTAAGGAAACAAAACGTTAGGAAGAAGTTAAAAAACAATGAGTATTAATGGCATATGAGAACATGACCAGAGGTGTGATACAGACCAGCCTTGCTCTGCCTTGAACCTGTATGCAGTTCCAAGTATGTGGCACAGCCCTCCCCCTGGTCGCAAATCCAAGAAGCATTGTGCCTATAGCAACACAACAATGATTGTCGCCTGTTAACGAGTGATTAAATCTTTCTCCTCATGTCGTTTTAAGCCTGGATTTATCTTTATATTTATTAGAAATATGTCATATTTTTCTTCCCTTATTCTCAGCTGAAAAGAAAAACTGAAAGAAAACATCTTTGTCATGGTTTGTTATGTCTGAAGCATAAACATCAGAGCATCATTATAATAGCATGCATAATTGTTCTGTGGTATTGCTCAATAAATAAGTAGGTTCTTCTTCCATAACATAAACTTCTAAAATAAATTCGAACTTTGGCACAAGACATGCACCTCACTGGGAAAAAATGTAAATCAATTTGTAGTCCTGTTTAATCTAAATCTAAAGACAGGGACTTACGGAAAGTTTGCTGAGAGCAGGATTGGTGACTTGTCGACCAAACGCATCCTCTTGGAACTGGAGAAGCTGTAAGGTGACTGCAGCCAAGACCTGACAGGATGGAGCATCTACCAAGACAAACTGACACAATGCAGATTTAAAATAAATATAAAACGATTCATAAATTCATGTTTAAATGATACAATAGTAACAATCGATTCGCTGTCATTGGGCAGTCTCAAATTTTAGTAGCTGTTTTCTGATTTATCCACAGCATTTATAAAATATGCGTTTTTAATATTATCATCTAAATGTGTTTTTATTATTTGCATTTATATAACAACTCTTTAAATCCAGTGTAAAATTACGTTATTCAGCATGAGACGTTTGTTTACATTAGGAGCCAATGCTCTTTTTAGCAGGGGGCGGCTAGCTCTGTTAGCTTCCCTCCCAGCAGCGAAGTACCTTTTTGTAGTGTTTCCCGATCCACTGTCGCACCACCTCCAGCTGCGCCAAAGTATCCGGACTCTCCCAGAACCACGCCGACGGAGTGCAGTCCTTTTTCCGATGTACCGCCATCCCAGAGGCGCCCTGACTTGTCC